AAAAATTATTATATATATATATATATATACATGTTAGTATAATCTTGAGAAAAAAATATTTAGCCCCTCTACTGATAAATCGTCAAAAATTTCAGACCCAAACTCCATCATTAACCACAAGCGTCGTCGCTCCCCAGCGATAGCAATAAAAGCTTTAGCAAGCTTTTCATCCTTCGTAAGTTGCTATATATTTTCACTTGGGACTCCATACGTAAACCACCAATGTTCTCAAGTTCTTAAGCAATTAACTGTTCCATGTTGACATTCACTTTCTCTGTAGGATTTAGAGATGCAGCAACAGATATTATACATTCTTTAATCTGGTGTATTTTCTTCCCTCACACCATCTATCGTCTTTGATTTCTTCTTAGTGTTCTTTTTTGAAGGTATGGCTGAATTTGTTAATGATGTGTCCGCTTCCCGTGGTTCTACATTATCAAGTCCATAATCAGCTTCTTTCTCCTCCAAATAACGCATTAGGGTCTCTTGTGCACCTACTGTTGTTATAGGCATCGAGTGCACAACGAAATTTTAAAATTTTTTAAAACAATATAAAAAACATAGTTATAATACTGTATAACATAAATACAAAATATCTAAATTATATCTTAAAAATTTATGAAAACAGTACGTCTGAATTATAAAAGCGTTCTAAACAGCAACCGAAATAGTCTAAACCAATTGGTTTTCTTTACTATTCTCATTTTCACGACCGGAGTGTGAGTGAGCACACGTCATTTAATCTCTCCTTAGTATTCTTGAACTCCTTCCAACCACAAGAGAGCCAAAGAAAAAACCGTTCTTGAGATTAAACAATTTTTCTTCAGAGGAACCCCTACCAATAGCCCCCCAAAAGTCTTTTAAGTGATCTAATGAATAATGAAACTTACTGAGCCATTTATAGAGTTTAGGAAGTCACATTCCCGCAACCATTAGGTTTCCCAAAAACAAATTCACATACAAAGTCAATTTTTGTAACATCATCAATTTATCCGGTCGACCGGTTGTCTCTCAGAATCTATATTATTTACGTTCTATTCGACTAGCTTCCGTCAGCGATTGACTGATACTATTTTGAAAACTTATTTTCTAAGTTTATTCAATACGAAAAACTTGCACAGAGTCTCAATTTTGATTCAAGTAACCCAATATAAAAGTTATTTGATCAAAACAATCATATATTAGTCTACTTATATTAAATAAAACTCAAAGCAATAATTCAACCAATTTATCTTGAATTAATTTTAAAATAATTCAATTGATAAATTACTCATGAATTAATCACCGATTTCACATTGACTTTTAACTTTTAGCGGAAATAACATAAGTTACCAATATGTAAGAAATGCGTTGTATCGTATCAAAAAAGTATATGAGCTAATAAAAAGACTTGATGGACATATATAAATTAAGCTCTTATAATCACGATAGTACTTGTTAACGTACAAGTTCATCATATGATTATAAACTCTAACGTTGCTATCTAAAAGCTTAAACTTGCACTCTCTATCCATATAATATAATTACAAAACTCCGAATAGCTCTCTTCCATAACTCATTATATTAATGTGCCATCCCCATATAATATTCATAATTGACTTGAGGTCAAATTTCGTTTTACCCTCCCAATTATATTTATCTTATTTTCTCATTATCACTCCATCGGAAAACTACTATTCGTACCAATACAAATAGTAAACCATTAGATAACACAAAGCAGTCTAATAGCCGAGCGCTTGTATTTTCCAACATCCGAATAATGCCATAAAAAGGATATTAATGACTTTTTATAGGAGCAATAGATTCCATATCTATGAATAATAAATCTACACATACAAAAATTATACTCTCAACGTACTGATAAGCGTACCTTTACATAATGTGAGGATGTCTCTATTTGGTACAACAAAAAATACAAATCAAGCATACGAGTTTATTTTTCATTTCAAGATTAAGATGACCATATATAATTCGTTCGAAAGTGAATTGTTTTATTCAAATGAAATTATTAATTAAAATAATTCAACATTAGTCCGATCTAATACAAATTCCATCACTAAGAACTATATCAATGTCTCTACTCGTGGAGTCCTACCTATTACTAAGAACTATATCAATGTCTCTACCTATAGAGTCCCACCTCCGACGACCAAGACAAGCCGTCTCTGTTAGGAAGTAAACAACATAAAAATCTTGACATAAATAAAACGCTCAACTTTATTCCCTCAATTGTGGATCATATTCTTTAGGTTCTTATATTTAGATTCTTATTTTCAGCATGTTCTTCTCATTACATGCATGATCTAAAGACTTAAAACGAGTCTCAGACTTTCAGTTTGCTTATCACACATTCAATTAATATGAACATAAAGAAAACAATACATAAATATATAAATAAATAAATTTTTATTAATAAGCATTATTACATTTATTTTTAAGAGTATAAACGCCAACACCTGCACCGAAACCTTGCACGTTCTTGTCCAAATAGACTGTTCATCTTATCATAATTTTTAATAGGTTTGTAACGAAGTTTGGATGCATTCGGATGTGCCTACAACAACCAACATATCCATCTGTAAGAAAACTTTATAATTAACCAGAAATGGAGTTGGATAAGAAGAATATACAACAATATTAACAAATCTTACCTTGACATAAGCTTCCCAAACAGAGATTTCAGCCTCAATCATTTGAGTATGATGATTAAACCCAAAACCACTACTACGGCATTCCAGGTTAAATTCTTTTTTCCCATATAAGCATTAGTTTCTACATCTTCATAATCTTCTCTATGTAGAATAAAAATAAAAAAATAAAAACTCAACCAGATTCATAAGCAAATAAGCCAAACCAACAGAAGAGCATATCAAAAATAATAAATGTTGAGCCAAGTGAATTCTCACTGGGATACAGTGTACTACAAGTCCAAAAACAATATACAGTCCACATCGAAATAGCTACAACTCAAAAGAATTCTACAACTCAAAAGAATTCTGAATTCCAACACTCTTTTACACATTTAGTTGTTTAGACAATATGCATTCCACATTGAAATAGCTATTTGCTCCCTTAGCATTTCACCCTCCATATATTCATGGCTCCTAGACTCTTGGGTTTGAATTGATTCATCTACATCAGATGATGGTATTGGCCTTGATGGGTCACTACGCTCACTATCAACTTCTACAACAATTTCCTCATTATTATCAACACCCATTAGAAAATTATGCAAAATAGATCCAGCAATAACAATTCTCACTTTCGTCCGAATTGAATAGAAAGGCTCATCAGCACCACTGCCTAGTATTGGAAACCTCTTCTTTAAAACACCATAGGCTCTCTCAATAGCATTCCTCAATGATGATTGTCTGAGGTTAAAAAGTTCTCTAGCATTTCGCTGTGGTTGAGATGCACTATATTCTCTTAAGTGATACCGTGTACTTCAATATAGAGCATCTACTAAATAATACTTACCTATGATTTATAAATAAAAAAGACCAACAATTACTACTAGAATTTCATAGATAATATACTTTAAATCCTTAAAACATCAGTTATTTACCTTGAGGTACTTTTAATCTATCAAGCTCTCTTGTCAATGCACTATTCAATACCCTAGAGTCAGAGGCGGATCTTTCCCAACCAGCCAAGACATATGAAAATGTCAAATCAAAATTGCATACACCTCGAAATCGTTTCACGATATCATTGGGAACCTTGACACGAAAATGGGAGCCATAAGTGCACCTGTACAATCCTGTAAAACCTTCTACGTTTAATTGGAGGTACGGGTCTATGGATATACCTATTATTCATAAAATAAACATAAAATAATGAAAATTACCTTTAAAAAGGCCAATTTTTAGAATTACTAATAATTTCTGGAGGGTATTGTGATCCATCCTGCCTTAGGAATATATCATGAATTATATGATGGCCCCCAAAACTTGGTGGAAATGATGGCTTACAGTCTCAGTAGAATGAAAGAACGTGAATTTTACATTACGATTTCTCGCATTTTGGCCTAGTAAATAAAGAAACTTTGCGAGTTGTTCTTCCACACTACTAACCAAGTATCACTGAGGCGACCAGTGTCGCGGAGTAGTTGTACCAACCTACCAAATGATTCTCTTCCCATTCGTAGCTGGCTACAACAAGCTCATCACTCATTAAGGTAAGTCTTGTCATTATAACATTTCGTTCATAAGTTCTATGTCTTGTGATCGACCGTTCGATTTGGTTGATACAACGGGTTAAGACAAGGGTTGCTGCATATGCAACATACATCATGACCATAACTACAGCCCTTTTTCTCAAACTTTCCATTTCTTCCTAAAGAACCAAAACCCAAATATGAGTATAATCTAAGATCATATATCTTCTTCAAATAAAAAAGACAACAGCAGATTTCAACGAAATGAGATCACACACCACATAAAATATTGAATCACTAATAAAACAGAGTACTTTAACATGTATATACAAAACAATAGCACAATGCCCTACAAAAGAAAAAAACTGCAGGCAATTCAATATGCCAACTAAGCTCTGGTATAGAAACATATATAGAAACTCAACCATTAAACACAAGTAGTTAGGCAATAAATACATAATTGATTGTCTTTCCACTCACTAAACACAAGCAAGTTGGAAACAAAAAAACAAGCAATTACCTCAGAGTTTGGTTGCATGTCCATAGAGTTTGACCTCATTGGTTGATGAGTGTTCATGGAGTTTGATCTATAGCCCTGCTCAAAAAAATAAAATCAGAATAAAAACTTCATATTAACCTCATTGGTTTTTACTGCAAGATCCACAATTTGATAAATGGTTTGCATCTGAAGATGTGTTTCAGACCATATCAGCAAATTCTACAAAATCTGATTTAAGTCAAAATACTTTTTTATTTTTTGTTTGAAATTACTCTTTAAAAAAAAAAAACACGCTATAATAGGATCACGTCCTTGGCTTCATTCAATATTTTAAGCACCCTTTTTGGCTAAAGCCACTCAGAATTCACGTGCCTTTGAAAAAGAAATTTGGTAGTGAGATTGCCTGGCCAACCAAAACTATTGCTACCTAATGAATAAACACAAGTTTCATGATTTCCAAATATTGTAAGGTTGGACTGAGTTTAAAGCCTAGGTATTTTTAGCAGAACCCAAAAAAAAAAAAAAACTCTTATGCAATAAGGAAAAATGCAACACGACTTATAGATTAATTAGATGCAACTAAGAAAGCTAAACTAGTGCTTTTAACCAGCTACAGTATCATAGGCCTGATCAAGCTCAAGTTGAGCATAATCAAAGACATACCAGATAAAAATCTCAAACACCTACAATTCAATTTATGGAATACCTTAAAGAACATCAAATCATACTTTTTAGGAACAATCAAACACACACAGAGAGAAATGAACTTAATCAAAGAAAAGATTAAAAAAAACGGGGGGACAAAATCTAAAACTACAATCAATTTTTGGTTGGTGTTTTTAGCAGTGAAACAACATAATTTGCTCATGTCCTTTTCTCTCTAGAGCTCCATAGAGTAAATAAAAACAAGCAATTACCTCAGAATTGGGTTGCATGTCCATAGAGTTTGACCTCATTGGTTGATGAGTGTTCATGGAGTTTGATCTGTAGCCCTGATCAAAAAACAAAATCAGAACAAAAACTTCATCCAAAAGCATATGATTAAATCCTGAAATTCATCAAAGAATAACTCAAATTGTGAATCAGATCCAGATCGGAGGAATGGTGTTCGTCGCTCAAAACTTGATTCGAACAACGGTACATCTGGTGCCTCCCAATCGGAACTCGACAGTGGCCTCTTACTGCCGTTGAGCCTCTGAGGTGTTGGTCGTCGCATGGCTCAAAAGGAAACATAAAAAATAAGAACAAATCATGATTGATGAAGACGAGCAAATCTTTCAAAAGGGCTTATCATTACATGCAAAATCTCTATAAGAACAAATGTGAAGAAATCAAAACAACAGCCGAAAAATCCAAAAAATCTGAACAAATCCACAAAGAAAAAAAAAGAATAGATTAAGAAGAAATTGATGATACCTGAAGAAAGTGTGAGAAATGACGACGTTGCCGGAGAAGGAGAAGAGAGACTAGAGAGAGCACGGAGAAGATGAGGAAGAGGTCTGGCCCTGCGAGCTTGACGACGCCGGAGAAGTTCTGGCCCTGCGAGCTTGATGACGCCGGAGAAGTTGAGGAGAGAGGTAGCTCGAAGAGAGAGAAATGGAGGAGGGAGATCAGTACTGGAGAGAAGTCGAAAAGAGAGCCCGAAAATTTTTCCCCATTAGATTTTCATTTTCCTTCCGAATTTTTAGGGAAAAAGAAATCCACGTGTCCCTATATAAATTTTCTACATAATTTTTTTTTATTTTGTTTTCCACTCTTTCATTTGGTTCCAAATCGGAAAAAAAAATGAAAGTTCATTAATAAGTACTGTTTAGTTCGTTGATTCGAGTTTTTAATTTTAGTTAAGATATAATTTTATGTGAAAATTTTTTACTATAATAAAAAAATTAAATGTGATTATTTCTGTGAATTTTTTATTATAACAAAATTCAAATTTTAAACTCAAATTAATAAAGTAAACGGACTCTTCAATTTTTCCCTCCAAATAAGGTTCCAAACAACCCTTCTTTTCAAAACTTCGTCGATCCTGGAGGACGACGAATCACTGGTCTTCTTTTCAAAACAGGACAAAGCAAACACATCAATCCAGGATCAGAAATTGACGCAGAGAGAAAGATGAGGAGTGTGAGAGAGAATGAGAGAAGAGATTTTTTTTCTTTTGTTAATTTCTGGTATATTGACAATTTATTGTAAATAAGGTAAATCCTTCCTTTAAAGGGGTGTATACCAACAAACATATTCCATTTAATTTGGCAAATGGTAGGGTGCCGAAAAAAAAAAAAAATACAAACCGTTATGACCGTTCGATCTGTGTCGCGCCGCCCAATATGAGCGGGTTCATATCACAATCTGTTTATTTTTGTGCAACACGGTTACAGTTCAATTGATAGATGAATATTTACAATTTACATAATTTTAAATGGGTTTAAATTGTCCCGTCTACTAATTATATATGTATGTATATTTTTTCATAAGAATTTATACGGTGAGTGTTGACTTTTACTTAGTTTAACTTTTATTATTTAAATTTTAAATTAATTTATTTGAATATTACTTTTAAAAACTTGTGCAATTGTGCTTTGTATGCTACGATTAAATTCATTTTATTAGCTTTCATTAATTATGTATCTATATTTCTACCTCTTGCATGTGTATATATGTGTATGTATTTTCCTGCACCTCTTACATATTATAAGCTTCAAGCCTTTACGCCAACAAGTGGTATTATTTTTTATATTTTGTAGTAATTAGTTAATAACATTATATTTTCATTTTTTATAGTCTCACATTTAGATCAACAGTTTTGGGAAAATGACTTTAACTTTGTACAATGTTTAGTCAATATTCTTGAATCTACAAGTTATATAACGTGCTCCGTACGTATTGTCATGTTGAAAATAGCTAAAGAGTATTATTTAGTGAATAATGCGAAGCTCATTTATACAACCATTTAAGGATTTTTGAATTTATTTTAAAAAAGAATGCGTGAAAAGATAACAATTAACTAAATAAGTAGGGATATGTTTGAAGAAAATTATTTTTACCAATAAAAAATAAAATAGAATCACGTGCGAAAAAATTACTCTTATGAGAGTAAAGTGAGAAACATTGGTCATGCTTGGAATTGATTCCGTTTTCATTTTTTACATTTTTTGAGAAAGAACTAATGAAAATGTTCTCAAAATAGTGTTTGGTGCAATAAATACGAAAAACAGAAATGAAAACGATTTTTTGGTTTAGTGCAAAATGAGAGAGAAATGAAAAATGACTTTTAGTAATTTTTCATTTTTTGTTTTCATTTTCTCTTCTGTCGAGCAGAGAAAGAGAGAAAGAGAGATATTAATGGATTTTTTTACACTGAAAATAATCTCTTAATAAAACTACCAAATGCATTTTTAAAAATGATTTCTGTCTAAGATTGAAAATGTTTTCATTTTTATACAAAAAATTAAATAATTTTATAACGAGTTCCAAACAAGCCTATTATATTATAAAAGCATACAAAAAATTTTAATGTAAAAAAAATTACAAAAGAATAAAGATAAAAAATGAAAAAAATGAAAAGAAAAGAAAATAAAGTAGATGGGCTGCCACGTAGAAAAGAGCTTTGGCTCTTTTATGTATTGTTAGATAAAAATGAATTTAAATGCCTATACAATATGTATACTTACTTATATAAGTAGCTAAGTTATAAAAGTTTAATTTCTAATTTAATAGTTAAAAATAATAGATTCTAAATCCACACCGCGCCAACAAATTGTTTAATATTCTTGTCTAAAAAACCGCCCAGCCCGCATAAGATTTGGGCAGTTATGAAATAGACTTTTCAATAACTGCCAAGAAAAAAAACCGCTCAAACCGCCCAACAATCACCCACACTGACTGTCGTGCACCCCTAGTAAATGAAGAGTTTATGTGGTAAATAATGGATTTATCAATCAAACAGAGGATTTGACATTGTAAACAGTAAGTTAATTTTTGGTAAATTGACAATTTACCATAAATAAAGGATTTTACATGGTGAATTTACTTAGTAAATTGTTCATTTATTACGGGTGTATATGCAAAAAAATTTAAAATTTGAGTCAAAATGTGATTTTTTTTAAAATTTAGGGGTTTAGTAGCAAAATAAAGAATTTAGTGTTGTAAACAGTTCATTAATTTATGGTAAAATGATGATTTGCACGGTAAATTTATTATTTACTAAAATATAGAAAATGAGGTTGTCTAGTAAATGAAAGATTTATCAGGTAAATAAAACATATACCATATAAAAATAAGCATAAAATTAGAATACCTATTAGTCAATAAATGATGCATTTATCATATAAATTCGTCATTTATCGTAAATGATGGATTTACCTGGTAAATCTTACATATTATAAGCTTCAAGCCTTTACGCCAACAAGTGGTATTATTTTTTATATTTTTTAGTAATTAGTTAATAACATTATATTTTCATTTTTTATAGTCTCACATTTAGATCAACAGTTTTGGGAAAATGACTTTAACTTTGTACAATGTTTAGTCAATATTCTTGAATCTACTAGTTATATAACGTGCTCCGTACGTATTGTCATGTTGAAAATAGCTTAAGAGTATTATTTAGTGAATAATGCGAAGCTCATTTATACAACTATTTAAGGATTTTTGAATTTATTTTAAAAAAGAATGCGTGAAAAGATAACAATTAACTAAATAAGTAGGGATATGTTTGAAGAAAATTATTTTTACCAATAAAAAATAAAATAGAATCACGTGCGAAAAAATTACTCTTATGAGAGTAAAGTGAGAAACATTGGCTATGCTTGGAATTGATTCCGTTTTCATTTTTTATATTTTTCGAGAAAGAACTAATGAAAACGTTCTCAAAATAGTGTTTGGTGCAATAAATACGAAAAACAGAAATGAAAACGATTTTTTGGTTTAGTGCAAAATGAGATAGAAATGAAAAATGACTTTTAGTAATTTTTCATTTTTTGTTTTCATTTTCTCTTCTGTTGAGCAGAGAGAGAGAGAAAGAGAGATATTAATGGATTTTTTTACACTGAAAATAATCTCTTAATAAAACTACCAAATGCATTTTTAAAAATGATTTCTGTCTAAGATTGAAAATGTTTTCATTTTTATACAAAAAATTAAATAATTTTAGAATGAGTTCCAAACAAACCTATTATATTTTAAAAGCATACAAAAAATTTAAATGTAAAAAAAAAAATTACAAAAGAATAAAGATAAAAAATGAAAAAAATGAAAAGAAAAGAAAATAAAGTAGATGGGCTGCCACGTAGAAAAGAGCTTTGGCTCTTTTATGTATTGTTAGATAAAAATGAATTTAAATGCCTATACAATATGTATACTTACTTATATAAGTAGCTAAGTTATAAAAGTTTAATTTCTAATTTATAGATACTAAATCCACACCGCGCCAACAAATTGTCTAATATTCTTGTCTAAAAAACCGCCCAGCCCGCATAAGATTTGGGCAGTTATGAAATTGACTTTTCAATAACTGCCAAGAAAAAAAACCGCTCAAACCGTCCAACAATCACCCACACTGACTGTCGTGCACCCCTAGTAAATGAAGAGTTTATGTGGTAAATAATGGATTTATCAATCAAACAGAGGATTTGATATTGTAAACAGTAAGTTAATTTTTGGTAAATTGACAATTTACCATAAATAAAGGATTTTACATGGTGAATTTACTTAGTAACTTGTTCATTTATTACGGGTGTATATGCAAAAAAATTTAAAATTTGAGTCAAAATGTGATTTTTTAAAAATTTAGGGGTTTAGTAGCAAAATAAAGAATTTAGTGTTGTAAACAGTTCATTAATTTATGGTAAAATGATGATTTGCATGGTAAATTTATTATTTACTAAAATATAGAAAATGGGGTTGTCTAGTAAATGAAAGATTTATCAGGTAAATAGAGCATATACCATATAAAAATAAGCATAAAATTAGAATACCTATTAGTCGATAAATGATGCATTTATCATATAAATTCGTCATTTATCGTAAATGATGGATTTATCTGGTAAATGCTCTGTAAATTCATCATTTAGCAAGGGTGTAAATAAAAGGTAAATGATGCTATGTAAACAAATTTTAAAATTTGGGTCAAAATATAATTTCTTAAAAACTCAAAAGGCCAAAATATAAATTAAAAAAAATAAAAGGTCAAAATATAATTTTTAAAAAGTTAATGTTTGATAAATGAAAGATTTACCCGGTAAGTGTAACCTTTAACACATAAAGTTATAAAAGGTAAAATTGGAATACTATGTATTTAAATTTTAAATTGTGTTATTTATTTTCATTGTTGTTAAATATGTTATTTACCACAAATAACTTTACAAAATGGCCTATATGTTACAATTTCTCTTAACTTTAACTCTTTTTTTTATTGAAAAAATTGTAAAATTTATCTTTAAAAGTGTATGAATTTAAATTTTTACCTTTTATTTTTAATTAATATTCTTTTCTTAGTATAAGTATTGGATTAAAAAATTTATTATTTAGGAGTGAGAAAATTTCCATGAGGGTATTATGTCCCTCTTTCCTTTTTTCTCTCGTTAGGATGCATCTGGATCAGCCCATAATGTAGGCTCATATTTGAGCCTAGCCCATTATTATCACCCAGCCCTGCCCTGGTTTCAAATCCCCAACAACAAACCGCGCAGTAACTCCCAACAGCTCCAATAACCCACACCGTCCGATCAACCACCATTCGACCACGTATCCACGTGGCTACAACCCATTGGTCCTTTCTTACTACGTGAGCCCACACAAACTTCTGGGGGCCAAATTATGAACATTCTTAAAGACTAGAGAGAGAAAATACAGAGCGAGAGAGAGTGTCTATAAACACGTTTCTTCAAGGAAAAGAAAATGAAATGAAAAATTAATCCCAAAATCCCCAAAAATCCCTTCTCTAATTTTCCCTTCCCCCTTTCTCTCTCTAGAAAAATACTACTGCTTTTCATTTTCTCCCTTTCTTTCTCTCTCTACCCCAAAATTGAACTTCTTTTTGGGCGTTGGGCACCACCACCGTCGTCGTCGTCTACGATTAATCCAAAACCGCCTCCTCCGCTTCCTCCTAAATCGGACGATTTTATCTGCGCACCCGGCGCACGTTAGCACCCGCCGCCGCCAATTTTATCTCTCCCGAAATTCCGCTACCGAACCACCACTTTTCCTTGTTTTAATTTAATCCCCTCGCCGTCGGCCGTTCATTTTCCGGTGAGTCTTCGTCGGAGGCGCACGATTGTTAACCTGCGCACTTGTGCTTCTCGTCTCGATATTGACCCAATTAGTTAGGCTCGTTCGTTAGACCTTGGCGGTGAGTCTCTTCTCTGTCTTTTGCTTCGCTGCGAATGCTTGTTTGATCGTCGGATTCGCTCGTTTCAGCGCGCTTTCTCTTCGATTAGGGCTTCCGGTTGTGGATTTGAGGTCCGGTTTTGCTTCTAGGGTTTGCTTGGGGAAGTTCGCTAGGGGTTTTAGCAGTCTGATTTCCATTTCGATTTCGTGAATTCGCGCGTTGATCTATTGCTTGCTCTGCTTGATTTGATTATGCGATTGGATTTCTTGGCATTGATGGTTCTATGGAATATCGAGATCAAATTTTGTTGAATTTGCTGGTTTTTGATTGTCCTAGAATTGGATTGCATTGTTTTGGTTCATTGCGAGTGTTTTTCAAAGTCATGCACGATTGGTTTTTAGTGTTTTAGGTTGGGAGTAATCAAAGATACTTAATTTTGCCATTTTTTCCCTCCAAGTTATTGAATTTGAAGCTTACTGTTGGTTTCTGCTTGTTTTAAACTAAACCATTTACAGAATTACGCTCAAAGCTGTTTTCTTTTCGATTCTTTCAATTTTCCTGGCTCTACGTGAAGAAAGAAATGAAAATTTTGGTCCACGAGAAGTTATTTACTAGATTTAAATTGTTATTCAATAAATTCCACTTAAATGGGCGTAAATAATTCTTATTTAGTTTTCTGAGTCATTCTCCTCTTCCCACTGTCCTGTTCCATGGTGTTTTCTGGCTTTCCTTCTTTTCATTTGGCATTCCTTCTTTATATTTTACTCCCGTTTCTTCGTTCTTGAGGGAGTAATTACCGTAATTTATGTTTTCAGCAATGTTTTAGGGGCTTTATTAATTAGCCTTTTCATTGTTGTTATCCAGGTCAGGTCTTCTGTGAGATTGAAAGAGTGCAAACGGAATTCAGAATTCTGTAGGGAATGAGTATATAGATGTGACTTCGAGTGAAAAGGACTTTGATATGAACATGGACGCACAGGAACAAAGCGAAGGTGAACCGGATGATGCTAGTAGGTTACAGAATGAGGCAACTGTTAATGACGATGGAAGGACAGTAGGGAATTTGCAACCTTCTGGGAGGAGAACTGCCATGGCTGGAAAATGGGGTTCCACCTTCTGGAAGGACTGCCAACCTATGCACTCGCAGAATGCATTGGATTCTGGGCAGGATTCTGATTATAGAAATGTAGATGGATCTTATGATAATTCATCAGATGGCAGGGAACAAAGATTAGATTCTGAAGATGATGATGGCCCAAAATATGCAGGCAAGGGTCAACAGGGCCCTTCTGATGTCGCCACAGATGAGATGTTGTCTGATGAATATTACGAGCAGGACGGAAAAGAGCAGAGTGACTCAGTGAATTATAGAGGATTTCATAATTCTACTGTGTCAAATTCAAGGCCACAATTAAAGCCTGCTGCATTCAATAAGAACATTGTTAGAGCTTCTAGAATTATGAATGATAATAACAATTTTGATGATGGTGATGATGATGACAACAACAATGATGATGCCGATTATGAAGAAGAGTATGAAGATGGTAATTTTGTTTTACACTCTGTTATTTTAGGGCATCGCTGCAGTAGTCGGTGCTGCTTGTTCTCCTTGTTGGGTGCTCGTTAACACAATTAGGAGTTGTTGCAATCTGTAATCAAGAGTTTATGACTGAATTTATGCTGTCTTTGTGATAGCAGGAGATGATCCTGATGATGTAGATTTTGAACCTGATGATGTTGCTACAAGTGGTCGCACTTTGAAGAAGGTTTGTCATAATTGATTTACAATATGGTTCATTCAAAAGATTGAAATTTTAATGGAGAGTGCTAAAGGCATCGACAAAATAGATGACTCTTCAACTCTTTCTCTCATTAGGTCATAGATTGTTAGAGAATTCTCAAATTATTGTGGTGCTATTGAAAGGTATCTCTTTTTAGTGTGTTGAATTGTTAAATATTTTGCAAGAACAGGTCCTTATTTTTGCCATAGCCTTGTGATTAACTTTCTTAAGGCAATGCCTTGATTTTCTCTCCTCCCGTGTTATTATTTGGCCTTGGTAAAATACAGTGCTTCGTAGCTGGCTTATTGGATTAATCTGTCTCTCTCAAAGCCCTGATATTCATTTAAGTCGAGTTCTTATTCTGAATAATTGATTTTTGAGGTATTTTGTATAACTCTATGAAATAATTTGAACTAAGAGATCTGATACCTAGCAAAATGGAACGCACAGAACAAAATGTGATTACAGTAATAGGAATTCTCACGTTTATCATTTTTCCGTATACTTAATTTCTTCAAAGTATTGTTGAGGTGTGCATTTTTGTGTTCACATACTCCTGATCATAAACTTCTTCTTCTTTTGACGTCCATGAAAACACATATTTTTGTGTACTCTATACATTTTTTTTAATAAATAAATGTAATAGTACTGTATTAGTTTTTATGTTATAAATTTCTGTCTCCTTTTCAGTTTTATTGAGGGGGAGTTGATTTGTTGCATGGATTGAGTGGTTTTGTTGAATTCTTTTGAATGCTAATGTGAAAATTGGTTCTTCATGCATGCTAATGATGTATTTTAGTGACACCAGGATAAAGATTGGGTAGGTGAAGACTCTGAAGAAGAAGACGACAGTGAGAATGAGCTGGATATTTCTGATGAGGATGATTCTTATTATGCAAAGAAACTAAAGAGTAAGAAACACGGTAAAGGTGGGCGTAGTGTTAAATCTACAAGAGAGCACAAATCTTTTCAGGGATATGGTCGGCAAAGAAGAGGGAAGTCATCATTTGGAGATGATGAATCTTCAGCAGAGGATTCTGATAGTGACAGTGATGAGGGTTTCAAAAGCACGAGGAAGAAAGGTGTAAATCTTCGCAAAAATAGTGGCCGATCTACTTTATCTACCACTTTAACCGGAAGAAACAGTGAAGTACGCACCTCCAGTAGGTCTGTTCGGAAGGTGTCGTATGTTGAAAGTGATGAAAGCGAGGACGTTGATGAAAGCATGAAGAAAAAGTCCCAAAAGGTGCACTCTTTCAATATACATACATTAAACTCGTGTATTTGTTTTTCTTTTCTTGCTGTTAAGGAGATTTTATCTCAAGTTCCCTTGTTGGACTTTTTATTTTGAACTTCCAAGCATATGTCTTGATTGTTCAGAATTGAGTGGGATAATCTTAGACACGAGACTTTTTTGATACAAGGGGAGGGGGGAATGCCACTACTTTTAAGTGGGGCTCAGAGTGACCTGAACCCTCAACCTTTTAAGCATAAACTTTTAAGTGGGGCTCACCTTTTTCTTTTTGCTGCTTTCACATAAGTTTTCTTTTTCTAACTGCTGCTTTGCTTGTGGGGCATGGGCACTGGTTTCTGCTTCATTTATTATAATATCTTGACAAGACTTGCTAGTTACGATGTTAGTTCTGTTTGTGCATCGTGTATTAATGGGATCTCTTAAACTTATCTTCAAATGTTCCTTTCCTTTTGGTGCATTCTTTTTGGATCACTGATGACATACTTGAATTATTACTTTGTTCACCTTTCTAGGAGGAGCTTGAAGAGGAAGATGGTGATAGTATCGAGAAGGTGCTGTGGCATCAACCAAAGGGAACGGCTGAAGAAGCTCTTAGAAATAATAGATCAACTGAGCCTATTCTATTGAGCCACTTGTTTGATTCTGAGCCGGATTTGAATGAGATGGAATTTTTGATAAAATGGAAAGGCCAGTCCCATTTGCATTGTCAGTGGAAGTCGTTTTCTGAGTTGCAGAATGTATGATTTACATTTCATGCGCTGCTTATGTGCATATTAAGAAGTTCTATTTGTTTAACATAACACTAAAAATATGTGTTATGTTGTTAAACTTAATTCTTGATGTAGCTTTGATTACTGGCATTTCATCCTTTTCTTTCTTCAGGTTTCTCTATAATTTTATTCTGTGATTTTGCAGCTAAGTGGTTTTAAGAAGGTTTTGAATTACACTAAGAAGGTAATGGAGGATGTCAAATATAGGAAGGCAGTCACACGCGAAGAGGTAATATGCTCAATTGCTATCTTCACACACTTTGGTTGGAAAGTTAAAATGTTTAAATAAGGGTTGACAATTGCAGATGATGTTTTAGATTTATTAAAATAGTATCATTCTGTTGTATGTGCTTTGTTAGATTCGTTAGACATCATGATGTTCCTAATTCTTTTTAATTATTTATTTATTTATTCAATTAGCTGGGAGAACTTTAAAACCAGTCTGCTTGTAATAGTGTCGTGATAAACAAAGGCTAAGACAATTGGGAAACATCTCTTTCTGTCTCTCTCTCTCTCTCTCTCTTCAATAAACTAGAGATAGATTCATATGAAGTATGCAAAGAAATTTCTCTTCAATGAACTAGAGATAGATTCATATTAACTATGCAAAGAAATACACACTTCGCATTAATTTTTATCAGAGCTAAGTTATCTCTGTTGTGCTGTTTGGAACTTCTATGATTGAATTGTATTATTGACTTTTGATCCTTTCAATTATTGCTTCAATCAATTAAATTCACGTTAAGACTGTTTTTTCTGCCTTCTGAGGACTCCTTGCCCTCTTTCCTTTAAAGTTGATTTCTTTATCCACGAAATGAAGGTTTCTTATAAGAAAAAAAAATTAAGATGAATTTATTGCAATTTGCATGTGAGAGTTGCCATAAGTTGTGATTATGGCTCAGTTGAGTTTGATGTGAAATATAGCTGAGTAGATGAGTGATCATGTAGCCATCAATTAACGTTGTTGGAAGCTTATTTGATAGAGTTTGAGATTATACTTGGACCAAATATAGCCTAGCCGTGAATGCTAGAGCCTTGGAGCTTTTTGTGTCAATTTTCACCGAACAGAACTTCTTTGATGAGTGAAGGTGTGAAAAATCCATCTTTATAGGAAATTGATTCGTTCATAACTTCTTGCTACTGCTTCCTGTCCCAAGATTTTAGTTATGTTCTAGATATGATAGGCAATAGAGAAAAGCGTGCTTTATATGTTGTCCTTCATTTCTTAGGTATGGATTCAAGATATAATGACAATCACACATATATGGAATGTTAGCCTGAAAACATGAATGGAAGCATGATCACCGAGTGGAAAAAAGTGGAAAGTTTAGACATTTAACATATTTGAAATTTTTGGTGTTATTGTTGTTGTTATTACGAAATTAAAAAAAATTGCCATAAAAAAATATTATTTTAACGTGTATTTTGGTTTCTAGTTGCTAGTTTTGGTCCCTGGGTGCTTATTATATTGTGGAATATACTTCTTTCGTGCCTCATTATTTTTTGTATGTCTGTTTCTTTTCGAAGATTGAGGTTAATGATGTGAGCAAGGAAATGGACTTGGACCTCATCAAGCAAAATAGTCAGGTTCACTTTCGTGTACTATTTTTGTTTGTCATATGTGCCTGCCTTCCTATTGACTTTTTCCCTCTCAATTAGTATTTTTCGTAATTGGTCCAATGTATTCATATCAGGTGGAAAGGGTAATTGCAGACCGCATTAGTAAGGATAGCACAGGGGATGTCATACCAGAGTATCTGGTTAAGTGGCAAGGATTATCTTACGCTGAAGCAACATGGTATATCAAAAAAGATTTGCAGTCTATTAACTGATATTTCAACTGGTGTTACTATTTTGGTTCTCAAATTAATAATCAGGGGCTGACTTTTTACGTTTGTTTGACCTTGTATGAGGATCTTTTAAATGATTTTACAAACAAATTTTCAACTAAATTGCAGAATTGTGCACCAGAAGTGCTCTTTGGGCCATAAATTTAGCAGTTCCTGTTACACATTTTGATTTCTAGCAATATTTTGCTGTGACGTTGCTAGATTTGTTTTTACATATTTTTGTTTCTTAGATAAAGTTTAGCACGTTCAAATCCAACAAATTAAAGGGTTCCAACTATGTCAAACTGCTCTTTTATTGTCTTGTTTTGTATTTGCTTTGATTCTTCTTTTTGAATTTTCCCCCTTGATTTGTGTGATATAAATGAATGCATATACTCACGAGTGGATTGTGGATTTAGGGAGAAGGATGTAGATATCGCATTTGCCCAAGATGCCATTGATGAGTATAAGGTATTGTACTAAGTTGTAGTTTGATTATAATATTTGCAAGTAACATTTACTTAACAATACATGTTATCTATCAACTTGTATCTGGTGAGAGAGTTCCTAATGTCCTTGTACTTTTGCCCCCAGAACAAAGCCCCAAATTTTACTGTTCCATTGATTGCCTATTTTGATAGTTGTCTTCACAAATATTCACAATGTTGTTTCCGTAGGGGAAAATAAAAGAGAAAACAGACAACTCTTAAAATGAGGAGAGTTAAGAAGGGGGAAAATTGCTTTTTATGGAAAACAAGAAAAAGTGATTTATTTTAATTTCTAGAAATTAAAAAAGGCTCATGACATGTCTAATTTACCGAAGTAGATAGAATGGAATAAAACCTTTTGACTTTACTATCATCTGAAAATTTAGATAGTATAAGGGAAATGAGCTTAACGTTGGTCGAACTGCAGCAAAAATTTGGGTTAGTATACACACCACATGCATGGCATCACGCATAAATAGAACATGCTTCTGTGCCATAGTAAGGGTTGTGCTTTGTCATTTGTGAGCAGGCTCGCGAGTCTGAAATAGCCATACAGGGACAAAAGGTGGATTTCCAGCGCAAAAAGAGCAAAGGTTGGTGTTTCTTTGCAATTCAGAATAGACTAGCTGAACGTTAAGACTAAACGTCACTCTTTTCTTTGAAAAAAAACAAAAACCAGGGAAATACGGCTATTTCTATTTGCATGATCATGGAAGTCAATTTATATTCCATTTGGGTGTTAGGTGTCACTTCTCTGATAGCAGTGTTAACTTCATTGTGGACAGTTTTTGTCGTGATTTATATGTAGCGAACTAGATTGGTTTCGCTACACATAGTGCCTTTCTTCTTTTCCCCTGTATAAGTAGTTATTGTAGTGGACAGTTTTTGTTATTGATTATCATTTAACGAGAGAACACTTGTATTTTTTAGCAAGTTTACGGAAGCTTGACGAACAGCCTGATTGGCTGAGGGGTGGAAAGCTGCGTGATTATCAGCTTGAGGGTTTGAATTTTCTTGTTAATAGGTTTGGCATTTGTATTTGAAACTCTTCTTTTACCAAATTAAGTGATACCTAAAATATTATCTTCCGATGATTTCCTGATTAGCATCTCCTGCTTTTTGCAGCTGGAGAAATGATACTAATGTTATTTTAGCTGATGAAATGGGTCTTGGTAAGACCGTTCAGTCAGTATCCATGCTTGGTTTCTTACAGGTGAGCGCCTTTTTTTTTCTTTGGTTTTCTTTTATGAAATTTCTTGAAGTTTTGCTTTCATGAGTTACTTTCGAGGTAAACATGAGATTAATATTTCTATTTCCCTTTTCACAGAATGCTCAACAGATCCATGGACCGTTTCTTGTTGTCGTACCTTTATCTACCTTGTCGAATTGGGCAAAAGAATTTAGGAAGTGGCTCCCTGACATGAATGTTATTGTATATGTTGGTACCCGTGCAAGCCGGGAGGTGAGTCAAGTTTTTTGTATTACTGATAAGGGAAGGTACTTTCATTCTTTTAAAGTTTTTATTTATGAAAGACAGAAATGTACTAAGAAGGCAAAAAAGTACACAGAGGCGAGAGGAGCAGAGATTGAATGACTAACCAAAAAGTCTAAACACAAAAAGTTTATACAACAATCTGCTTTAAAATCCTATAGTTCATAGATATTGCAGTGCTTAGTGACCTATCTAAATTCTAGTTTTCAAGTGACCTAAAGATGGCCTTATTTTTTATTTATTTTTTCTATCTTTTTCTCATTCTTCTCTCTCCCTGGAGTCCTGTTCTCTTCCATTGTTTGCTTCTTCATGTACTCTATTCTGTCATGGTCAAAATTTCTGTTTCTCATTTATTAAAAAAAAAAAAACTCATGGGCACCTACGACAAAGCTCATGGGGTTTTGGTTGGAATGGTCAGGCCTTTGGTTTGGTTAGCAAGGTTTGCTTAGCAATTTGAATACTGTCCTTGAGCCATTAGGATTTTTTTTCTTCCTTTTTAACTGATGTCTATACCAATGTCATCATTCACTTGTGGATGTGATGCATGTCTCCAGATTTAGAGAGATGTAGAAAGTTAATTCCTGAGATATTTTACCATCGTAGAGATGAAAAAGGACTTCTAGGACAATTATTTCTTATTGCTTATCTAATGAGCCTCTCAGGTAGCTGCGCAAGGAAGCAGAGTTATTTTATAGCCCTTTGCCGCTCTTAACTTGCACTCTGATTCCTTCTGCAACTTTTTATTGAAGTTACTGTCATCATAGACCTAAAATATCATAGTGCAAGATGAGTACGGAACAGTCTTGATTCCCTGGTGATCCTGAAATATGCAATAGTTATATTGTTAATTTTTAAAAAGAAATGTTCTGGAATCTTCTCATCAAGTGGCACACTCTTGTATCTGTGTACCATGTTTCAACACGGACATGATCAACCTTTTGTTCTGTATTATTTAATTATGCTTGGTGATCCTGAAATATGCAAGAGTTATATTGTTAATTTTAAAAAAGAAATGTTCTAGAACCTTCTCATCAAGTGGCACACTCTTGTATCTGTGTACCATGTGTCAACACGGACATGATCAACCTTTTGTTCTGTATTATTTAATTATGCTTGAAATCTATTTTTTTTTTCTTTTACCTAAAAAAAATTATATTTTTTGTTCATGAGAGTTACTGTTATTTAGCCGTCTCCATTTAAAGGTCTCTGATAGTTTTGTTTGGGATGTAGGTTTGTCAGCAGTATGAATTTTATAACAAAAAGGTTGGCAGGCCTATAAAGTTCAATGCATTATTGACTACATATGAAGTTGTTCTAAAGGATAAAGCTGTTCTTTCAAAGATAAAGTGGAGCTATTTGATGGTTGATGAAGCTCACAGGTTAAAGAATAGTGAAGCACAGTTATACACAACTCTTTCTGTAAGTCAATGGAGCCAATCAATTTCAGTCCATTGGAATCTTTCTTCTTTTAAGCTTAGTTTGCCAGTATTTTGCTATTTGAAGTCGAGTTTGCTTGTATTAAGTGGTATCCTAAATTGACAGGAATTTAGCACCAAGAACAAATTGCTTATAACGGGCACTCCATTACAGAACAGCGTGGAAGAGTTATGGTAAATGATTTATTTTCCTTAATAACACCGAGTCTACAGCTTTTGGATGTTAAGTAGCCAATCCTTGTGACCAACTTGGTCATGTACCTACTCTACTTGGTCCTCTTAACTTTATACTTTTGTTTTATGGTGTCCCTTAAGTAAATGTAGATAAGCATCAACTTTCGTTATACTAAATCTATTAGCTATTGGATGTGTTATAAACTATTATATGAGTTTAACTTATTGCTTCATCTACAATGTTGCTTCTATATTCTGCAGTTGCAGTATCTTGTTATAACCCTTGGGTAGAACTCATCCCCAAAAGCTAGCTTGTAGGGAGAGGGTGCCCAAGTGGTTATAAACCCACACGCTAAGCCCATACTTTAGCAATGTGGGACTCAACCATGATCCTAACATATCTTTGACTTTAAATCCCACTTTCTTGGCATATTAGAGATATATAATTTATCTGTTATTTTTTTTCCTCCTCTATTCCAATTAAGTCTATTCTTTCTTGTATTTCTACTTGATGATCTACATATGCTGCATATACGCTTCAGGATCTTTTTGTGATGCGAAAACTATGAAGCAGTTACGTTTGATTCTAGATATGCTAATGTTTGAAGCCGTGGAATTTAGTGTCTCCCTTGCTTTTGTCTTCTAAAAATACGCTACAGACTATTAAGGAACTATTTTATCAGCTGATATAAAGAAACGGTCACCTTTTGGACACTTCTAGACGTTATTTTAATAACATATCGATTTAAGGTAGGGCCTGCTTTCATACTTATTCAGCTTAGTTGAGCTTGCAACTTTTTGGAAATAAAATAATGTACAAGCTTTACATAAGGAGTAAATTTTGTATTTATAAAGGAAGGACTTGAAACTATTTTGATTTTCCTGAAACACTCTTTTATTCTACATGGATAGGGGAAAGTTTACTACTGTCATCATTTACTGGTGCGTTACATTATGTTATGTGCATGCATCCATGCTTTGCTTATTATTTTCTTTATTCACTTTTCCCCCTTTTTTCTAGGGCCCTGCTTCACTTCCTTGATCCAGATAAGTTCAAAAATAAAGATGATTTTGTTCAAAATTACAAGAATCTCAGCTCATTTAATGAGAGTGAGGTAGGCTTAAATGGCTTCTTTATACTCTTGCCCTAAAACCACACCCCACTCCCCACCCTTCTTTTTTCTTCATAAATTTCCACTCTAAAATGAAATATCTGCTTTTGTTTTGTATAGCTGGCTAATCTTCATATGGAATTAAGGCCTCACATTCTCCGTAGAGTTATCAAGGATGTAGAGAAGTCTTTGCCTCCAAAAATTGAGCGAATTCTTAGGGTTGAAATGTCTCCTCTTCAGAAACAGTAAGTCGTATTGTGAACTTGTAATGAAGAGGCACTCTTTATTGCCATCTCTCAAGTGACTCTACATATCTGGTGATAAATTCTTTCTTCCAGGTACTATAAGTGGATATTGGAACGCAACTTCCATGATCTGAACAAAGGAGTTCGCGGGAATCAGGTTATTATCTGTTTCAAATGTCACTAAGAGTTTCTGGCATTGAGCTATTAGTTATGTGCTTCTATAGTTATGAATTCAAATGTCAAGATGACCGTCCAGAGTTATCCTATTCTCCTTTTGGCTCTTTCCTCTTAAAGTTGCATATGCTAGCTCGTTTTCACATTTCTTCCTTTTCCACTCTCTTCACTACCCAAATCCACACTTCTTTTCCTCTCTGGAGGGAGCACAACTCATGCTTGTAAGTTTTTAGTGTTCAAAACTTGGAGTTTTCTTCATGAGTAAAAAACTAAATAATTTTCATGCCATAATTCAAAACTATTAATGCAAGTTCCTAAACTAAAAGCCACACGTAAGTAAAGATAGGCTGATTGGAATTCTGTATTTGAAATTTTCCTTTTATAGATAATTTGATGTTTAGGTTCTGCAGGATTTCCTGCAACTGCTTTTGAATCACAATAGTCATTCAAACACCAGTTGGCTTAGATCAGTACAAGAGATTCTCCTTCGGATGTACTTGTTCCATAATTTTCCCACATCATCTGTAGATGAATCTGAAACCCATTTCATGAGAGTGAATTTCTTTCCTTGGTGTCTCGTACTTGCATATTGGCAAGTAAGAATGTCATTTTGCGTACTACAGCCACTACTATAATTTCAATATTCTTTGGCTTATTCCTGCAATTATTGTTTCCAAATAGTTATGATGATCTTTTGTTTTTTTTTGAAATCGTTATGATGATCTTTTTCCCCCTTGAGTATTGTCAAGATTTTATTGCATAATCAAGATTTTTCCTTTTCTTCAGGTTTCACTTTTAAATATTGTGGTTGAGTTGAAGAAGTGCTGCAATCATCCCTTCCTCTTTGAAAGTGCAGATCATGGTTATGGAGGAGACTCGATAATTTATGATAGCAGTAAACTTGAGAGAATTATTTTAAGCAGCGGAAAGTTAGTTATCCTTGATAAGCTGCTTGTTAGGTTGCATGAGACAAAGCATCGTGTTTTGATCTTTTCCCAGGTTTGTTTGAGATACCATTTTTTGAATATGTTTCTTTGGTAGGCTACTTGAAGCTATCAAACTGTATGGAATGCTACTCTGGTCTTTATACTTTTAGAGGCTTTTGATTCATCTTTAATGTGGGAGACAATTGTTGATATTGTATCTATCCTCGGACGTTTGAGGATACAACATTTGTCTCCAACAGGTCAAATGGTTGTAGTGCGAAGAGTAGAGCCTCCATTTATTTAATATAACAAATTCCATGGATAAGGAAAAAGTACTTTTCTGTTATATCTGATGAAGCCTTGTCTTCTTTTCATGTCAGAACACACTTTGCATCTATAAAAAAGTTGCGCATTACCTGGATTCCTATCCCTTATTGTGGTGACTTATTGCGCAAAGGTTGATGCTATAATATAAATAAAAGTGTCAATGCTCTAGGACTACCTAACTTTTTGAGGAAGTTTCTCAAGTACTTTGGTTTTGTATGAGTGAAACTCGTCATTTCTTTATTCTACATTTCAATATATACTAGATCTAAGATGTCATTTTGGTGAAGCAGTTTCTGGGCCATGATGATCCCTTATATTTTGTGTTTTAGTACCCTGGTAAATGTTATGGACCGACGGGTATAATTCTGACTTATTGCAGATGGTAAGAATGTTGGATATACTAGCAGAGTATATGTCTTTTAGAGGGTTTCAGTTTCAAAGGCTTGATGGCAGTACAAAGGCAGAGTTGCGTCAGCAGGCAATGGATCATTTTAATGCACCTGGTAGTGATGATTTCTGCTTCCTTCTTTCAACTCGGGCAGGTGGACTTGGTATCAACCTTGCAACGGCTGATACTGTTATAATTTTTGATTCAGACTGGAATCCTCAAAATGACCTACAGGTTGATTGACTTGAAACCTCTTTTTTTCATCTTTAGCTTTTCTCTTTCTTTGGTTCCTAAATAATGTGTTGTGCGGTTCTTAATTGCACACTATGAAAGAATTTTTTTTTTTTTTTTTTACTTATAGCAAGTGTTTTCTCAAACTATGTGCCAGGCAATGAGTAGAGCTCATAGAATTGGTCAACAAGAAGTCGTTAACATCTACAGATTTGTCACAAGCAAAAGCGTTGAGGAAGATATCTTGGAGCGAGCTAAGAAGAAGATGGTTGATAACAGAAACCTTTTGAATGCATGATATACTGAATTATACCTTCATATGTTTGTACAAAATATTTGTATTCGTAATTGTTTGTCAAAGCTACATGGATTCCAAAACTTTATGCACCGTTTCACCAGTTATTCTTGTTCTTCTTGTATGCATGTACTCTTTAGGTTCTTGACCACTTGGTTATCCAGAAACTAAATGCAGAAGGTAGATTGGAGAGGAAAGAAGCAAAGAAAGGGAGTTACTTTGATAAGGTATGGGATTGTCTGAACTTTTTGTAGGATTCCAGTTGTGTTTATCCTTCCCCCATCCCCCGCAAGTTCTCTCCCTCCCTCCTCTCTCCTTGGGAGGTAATGTTGCAAGTCAGCATCGAAATACTATGGTGGCTGGTTATTTTGTTTCCTCGAAATAAACACTCCTAACTGGCATTTCCTATTATTACACAATGGCAGAATGAGCTGTCGGCTATCTTAAGATTTGGAGCAGAGGAACTTTTTAAAGAAGACAAGAACGAGGAAGAAAGTAAGAAAAGACTCTTGAGTATGGACATTGATGAGATTCTTGAAAGAGCAGAGAAGGTTGAAGAAAAGGAAGCTGGAGGAGAGCAAGGGCATGAGTTGTTGAGTGCTTTTAAGGCAAGATAGTTCTCTTTGCTTCTCTACTTTAATTGTGTCTCAACTTTCTTGTTACATTTTTTCAATTCTTTTTTTCTTCCCAGGGCTGTGGAACAGTTAATCATCTAGTTTGTTTTGCACTCATCGTTTCTTTTGATTTTTGCACGTACATTGAATTGTCTGTCTGATGAAATTTTTTACTTTTTCATTTTATACAAATATCCAGGTTGCCAATTTGGGCAGTGCTGAAGATGATGGAAGTTTTTGGAGTCGTTGGATAAAGCCAGATGCAGTAGCCCAAGCTGAAGTATAAACTTATTTTGTTGATATTATTCTTAAAACAAAATTTAATTTGATATCCTTTTCTAAATTAATACCTTAGGAAATATATTTTTAACAATTTAATATTTTTATATTATCTAACTTCACTGATTTATTTATTTATTTATTTTTCTTGTTTTTGGTTGCTTAGGAAGCTCTGGTTCCTCGTGCTGCAAGAAACACTAAGAGTTATGCAGAAGTGGCTCCTCCTGAGCGAAGTAGCAAAAGGAAGAAGAAAGAATCTGAGCCTCCGGAGAGAGCCCAGAAACGTCGCAAGGCAGACTATTTGGTCCCCTCAGCACCAATGATAGAAGGGGCATCCGTTCAAGTAAGAAGATGGTCAGGTGGAAATTTGCCCAAGAGGGATGCATTAAGATTTTCTCGTGCGGTAAGGTTCTATTGTTCTTTTGGATTTTTGTAGTCATCACAGTTCATATATTTTTTTTGTCTTCTAAAAGAATTTGTAGTCGTCACAGTTCATATCCTTTTTTGTCTTCAGTATAGTGGCAACCCTTTGATATAATTTTTTTTAAGCATTATTAAGTTCATTCTTGTGTTGGTGTTTGTTGAAAAGTTAACGGCTTTTTAAAGTTTATATACATTTAATTCCAATTCCTAGAAATTCACGATAAGGGAGAGGAACCCTTCCCCTCCCCCGAACCCCCTCCCCATCCCCTTGGAGATAGAAGGTCGTACTGATGAGGAAAAGAAATATCATGGATGATTTATATTTTGTTCTAGTTGAGATTTGTGCTCTATTTATGTATGGAATTCCATTTATACTTTTATTTATTTATTTATTTATTTTGGTTCTCAAATAAATAAATTTTAGTTGTTGAATTTGATGTCTGATACTTATAGCTGAGGATGTCTGGGTTTTGGTATGTGCTATCGTGATGATTTGTCCTGTTATTTATTTATTTTGGTTCTCAAATAAATAAATTTTAGTTGTTGAATTTCATGTCTGATACTTATAGCTGAGGATGTCTGGGTTTTGGTATGTGCTATCATGATGATTTGTCCTCTAACTTGTCTCATTTTTTTGCTTTTGATTTACACTTCCCGAATTGGAATTTAGGTTATGAAATTTGGAAACGAGAGCCAAATTAGCTTAACTGTTGAGGAGGTTGGAGGTGCAGTTGCAGCAGCTCAGCCAGATGCTCAGATTGAGCTTTTCAATGCATTGATTGATGGTTGTAAAGAAGCAGTTGAAATAGGAAGCTTGGACCCAAAGGTTTGTTTGAGATTCTGTTTTCTTGGTAATTTCTATTGAAGGCAATAATTGCTTTGGATTTATTTTGCAAGGTTTTGTGGTGTTCATATGTACATTTGGAACTTATCTCTAGGGACCCTTGTTGGATTTTTTTGGAGTCCCTGTGAAGGCTAGTGATCTCCTAACACGTGTTCAAGAACTTCAACTTCTAGCAAAGCGCATTAGTCGCTATGAAGATCCAATTGCACAATTTCGTGCCCTGTCATACCTGAAACCTTCAAATTGGTCGAAAGGTTGTGGTTGGAATCAGTTTTCCCTACTTCTCTTACTCGAAAGGTATTTTATTACTATTTTCTTTTTCTGATTATTATTCCGTTATAGTTGATGATGCAAGATTGCTTCTGGGAATACATTATCATGGCTTTGGCAATTGGGAAAAGATAAGGCTAGATGAAACACTTGGCCTTACGAAAAAGATTGCTCCAGTGGAGTTGCAACATCATGAAACCTTTTTACCTCGTGCTCCTAATTTGAGAGACCGTGCTAATGCTCTCCTTGAAATGGTAGGCAGCTTCTGGCCATTGTTAGTGTATTCTTGCATGAATTGGAATAACCAGGATTAGGACAATCAGCTTGCATCTGTAAGATGATAAACTTGTGGACTTTATTATATGGCTCATTTGTGGAAGAGCAAAACTGGGGGGTTAATTTTATATTCATGATTGTATCATATTCTTGTTTCTTATGAAAACAATCTTGATTTATTTGTTTAGAAGAGATGAACCTGTGTATCGATGTCCTTAACTATATTGTTCTTTCTTTCTTCTCTCTTTTATTTTATTTTATTTTTGTTTACGTACATTTTCTGTTCACTTGTTTTGGACTTCCTCTGTTTATGGAAGATATTACTGTGAACTTTTAGTATTCTCTATTGTTGCTTTGCACTCGTTCAAGAATCCATGCTTGGATAAATGCCAGATTGCATCAGATGGAAAGATGGTTCGGTATTTTGGTCAAACTAATGTTTATGGGCAGGCTCATTTGTTGTCTTTGAAATGAGTTTTTCTCATCATCAAGTGTTATCTTGTCTTTGTTTCTTTGTCAATTTAATGTGCAAGAGTGGCGTCCTCCGTGTGTTATGCTGTTGTATCGTATCATTCTAGCCATACCTCTTTTTTGGTATGGTGCTTATAATCTGTACATACTGATAAATGACTGAATTTTTCAAAAGAACCATGTTGATGTTCATTTTATCTGGGTATTCTTTGCATGAACTGATTATCATCACATATGTAACAGGAAATTGCTGCTCTTGGTAGGAAGAATTCAAGCACTAAAGCGGGTAAGAAGGTTTCTAAGAAGGACAGGGAGAATATCCTCAATGTGCCTGCATCTCAGGGTCGGGGGAAGAAGGGTAAAGCAGGTTCAGCTATGGTTGCTGGTCAAACAAACAAGGACAGACTTGCAAAACCCCAGAAAGTTGAACCTTTAGTTAAAGAGGAGGGTGAAATGTCAGATAATGAAGAAGTATATGAGAAGTTCAAGGAGGAGAAATGGATGGAATGGTGTGAGGATGTCATGGTTGATCAAACGAAAACCCTGGGACGTCTTCAACGGTTGCAGACTATTAGTGCTGATCTTCCAAAGGAAAAGGTACATTTTTATTATGTTTGTGCATTGACGTCCCTGCTCTTATGTTTTTCCTCCTACGTGGTGCAGTAAAATGATTTTATTGAATGTTCTTTTTCTTTTGCTCCATCCTCAGGTGCTTTCAAAAATACGAAATTATTTACAACTTCTTGGACGAAAAATAGATCAAATTGTTATTGAGCACGAGGAGGAGCCATACAGACAAGATAGTACGTTCTTCCTCTGGTTAATTTATATTAGTCGTTCTTGACTGGTTGTGCTATGATATTTGCCGTTGCTGCCATCTCTCTCACATTTCTGTATTATGGTTTATTTTCCTTTCTTATGCAATAATTAATTTCTATTAAAGTGTGTTTATTGTTTATTGGTTTTCTTTAATCCTGAATATGCGTTTATTATTATTCTTATTATTATTATTATTATTATTCTTGGTCCTTTTTTTTCCCTCCCTCCATTATGCATGTTTATTGTTCAGTTCAGTTCTTACTTCATTATTATACAGGGATGACCATGCGATTGTGGAACTACGTATCTACCTATTCAAATTTGTCCGGTGAGAGACTACATCAAATTTATTCCAAACTTAGACAGGAGAGGGAAGAGGAGGCAGGCCCTTCTCATGCCAATGGTTCTGCTTCTGGTTCCTTTGGCAGAGATGGGGACGCAATTCATTTTACTCCTTTCTCCCGTCAAAGAGGTTTCAGAAATGCGACAACAACAAACCCGGGGCCGGATCCATTTCAGAAGGGTCATGATACAGCCAAATTCGAAGCGTGGAAACGAAGGAGAAGAGCGGAAGCTGAGAGTCAGTTCCAAGTTCTGGCCCCACCTCAAAGAGCTTTGAGTAATGGCACCCGGATAACCGACCCTAACTCGTTGGGGATCCTTGGGGCAGCACCATTTGAAAATAGGCGTGCGGGTAATGAGAGGCCTTTTAGGACGCGTCAGCCTGGATTACCCCCAAGACAAGGTTTCCCATCCAGTATCAAGTAGGGATGGATTGAAAGCGGCTGACAAAAGAGTGAAGGCAACAGCGCTCACCTGTGGCATTGACCGCTTCAGCCCTTAAATATTCTCTGGAGATTTTTTCAACCATGGGAATAAAATTTTTGCAGATTCCTGTACGGTATTCTGAGACTGATCCAAGACCAAACGGGATATGCGTCCATTAACCGAAAAGTCGTTGTCCAAGACCAAGGGGCTGAGGTAAAGAGCCAAAGTTCTTGCCATATGTGCAAGACGTTAGTCTTGCTGCCATTTTTTTCCCTCTTCTTTTTGTACTTTTTGAAGATGAGTTCAGTTGGTAATTTGTTTACTTGTATAGTGAAAGTTAGGTATAAGGATTACTCGTTACTCATCTGATGTATACACATACATTGAGCAGAACATCTTTTGTGTATTAGGCCTTAACGGAAATTGTACATTACCAATTTTGCAATAATTTTTGGCTAATTTTCATTCATGGCAACTGTCCTGCCATTTCTTTCACTAATTCATGATTTTCTCTGAATATTTCCTCTTCTTGTTTAATCTTTCTTAGAAAAAAAAGACCACGTCTGTGCTCCATTCAAATCAAGTTCATGCGGGTTTGTGTGTGTGTGTGTGTGTGTGTGTGTCGACTATCAAACTTATAGTTTCAACAAATTTGTGGCAATAAGCAAATAAACGTTTCAACTCTTATCTATTTTATAAAAGTTTTAATTTTTATTCTAATATAATATCAAAACGTTATTTTCCAATTTATGAGGAATCATTACTTTTTATGGAACGTTATTTTTCATTTGATGTAATTCGTCAATTGATGGATCTAACAAGATTCATGGACTCTGAAATGATTATTTATTTGTCACTTAGGTTGTGATAACTCACAGAATCCCTAGAATCTCTGTAGTCATTGACAACATAATTTAAAGTGAAAAAATCATTTTATTGTTGCCCATGTGTGACAAAATTGATTTTGGTTACGTCATTATGTATATACCAAAATAGCCATCCAATGACTTTAGATTCCGTAAGTGATTTCTCTTTTTATGGTTAGAAATTTAAGCTGAAATAAATTCAATATGTAGTTTGTTTACTTATACAAGAGTAAAACAAATTGCAATATAGGGGAAAAACAGAAGGGGGAAAAAAAAAAGAAAGGAAAATGAATATACACCACACACCACATAGTAGCAACTAGTGACACATTCCAACATGAGCATCGAAAAAGAAAAAAAAAAAGAAAAGAAAGAAAAAACAAGAAAAGACTGGTGTCAAACAGTTTAAAATAACAATAAAAACAGTAATTAGAAAATTTGCAAAATTAGAGTGTTTGAAAAAGTGCTGTGTGGTGTTGGTTCCCAAGGGAGAGGTGTGGTTGACAACGCATTATCACTTTATCCTTCACATTGTTTTCTCAACCTCAAGCTTCTATTTTTCCAAACTGCATGCCTATACTAAACCACAAGGCTTGAAAATGACTTTATCTTTGTTTACAGGTTTTCTGTCCATACGTTCTGGGCAGTTTCCATTTCTGCACCTGGGTTTTCTCCATTTTCTATTTTACTTGTGTATTTGACATGTTCATTTCATTCAAGTCCTTGTAACGAACTAAACAAGGCTCCCTTTTGAAAAAACTTGCCAACTCTTGGTTAGTAATCCTTTTAAGCTCACAACTTGGCATTGGAAACATAGTAATTCTTTTTTTTTTGGGGCGTGTGTGCTGATTATAAGGGGGACATCCCCTTTGTCTATAGCAGAAATCTAGGACCACTAATAAAACAGAAATGATATGACTCAATTCTACTCAAAGATGATCTCAGTTTTTACTCTAATCTGAATAAAACAGAAATGATCTGACTCAATTCTACTCAAAAGATAATCTCAATTTTTACTCTAATCTAACCACTATAAGCCCAATCCTAAAAAGGAGCTGCGGAGTATCAAATCTTGAACTCATTATAAGAGGAGGAAAAAGCAAAAAAAACATCCTAACTGGTGTGCCACCCAATTAGGTAGCACAGTAATGTTTTATTATCCACCAATTGAATCCAATCTAATTTTACTTGCTATTCACCAAAATCCGATAGGGTCTAAGAAACAGCTAACTATACATATGATTATTTAGTACCTTGTTCGTTGCAATTGGTGTTAGAGTTACTTGATCATGTCACAAAGTAATGAAAAAAAAAATTAAAAAAATGGGTAGTCAAGAAAGAAAACCAAGAATTGAGGGGCATTGGAGCAATTATGTTTGCAGCTAAACTTCAAATGCGAAGAAAATATATGTCAAAAAGCAATTCCAAAGCTGAGGTCGAGAACTTGCATGTTATTCATTCTTAGCCGCAAGATGAACCCCTTTGTGTGCTCTTATCTGCCACGTTAAGGAAGGTGGGACCCACATGGGAACCTTGATGGTTGATTGGCTCTCTCCCGCGCTCTCATTATAAAAATATATAGCTCCTTTGGCAGTTCTCTTCCAAGGTCCTACTTCTCTGTGTAGGTTTGTGCTAATTTGCTCTCAGGAAATTCTACGAAATCTGAGAGGAAGATTCTCTTTCCAGGTATTCTTTACTTACACCTCTCCTTCTGCAATATTCAGATTTGCCCATATCAATACATGACTTTTTCTATGCATATTTTGTTCTTTTGTTTATTTATTTTTTTGGTTACGCATAACGTGTGTATGTATGGCTTTGCTATGTCTCACAATTTGTGGTAACAAAATATGAGCTTCATGATGTTATTTTTATTTCTTTAATCAATTGTTTAAATGGTCCATATGATATGAGGTCCTAGAATTAAGCTAATTTGCACTAGAAAAAAGAAAAAAATAAAAAAAGAAGAAGAAGCAAATTTATAGATTTTCTTTTCCTGTTAAATGTTCTAATTGGTATCAAGTAACTAATGAAGGAACATATGTTATGCTTCTTATCTAAGTTATTGATATGTTTTTAGGAAAAAAAATTTGTTCGATTATTTTCCTTTATGTTAAGGATGATCTTCAAAAAAAAAAAAAAAGAAGTATTATTTTTTACTGGGAAATGTTGTTCAATAGGTGTTCATGGTTTTCCAACATTAAGAACTTGGTATTTTCTTTTATTGATCTTCTTGTTGCGTTGAGATTTCTTTTACAGTTACCATTCAAGAAATGGTCTTTTTTTATTTCCTTGTTTTAATTGATTGATTAGTAATATTATAGAGTGATCACTATGCTGTGAAAACTTATGGTAATACCAAATTTTTTTTTTTAATAATAACATAAACTCGAGAAAAAAATAGGTATTTTTGGACGCATGGAGAAGGAAAAAAAATGTTTTCAGCAATTCAGCTATTGGCTCATGCAGTCTTGGGGTTTTGAAATAATAAGAGTTTTTGTTATTGTTTTTTTTTTTTGTTTTTTGTTTTAATGCATGTTTAGCCAAAGTCATACTATTTTTGAGATGAAGCATACAAAATGAGAAGAATGCTGATGACAATAGTTAATCTGATCCATGCCCAAAAAAAAAAAAAAGCCCTATTAAGTCTAATACTATTATTGCTCCGTGACATACTACTTTGTTGATAATATGGCTTTTTATACTCGATTCCAAAATAGAGGAACTAAAGAATACTTAAAAAAAAAAGGTCTTTTGGCTTGTAGTTTCTAATTGTTGTAATGTTTATGTGGAACTGTTAATTGAGGAATCTCAACATAAATAGAGAATGAATTCACCCTTTTTTTTTCCATCTTTCCTTGTCCATATTACTTTATTCAGTAAGCTTTTTATTAAAACCTGTAGTGAATTCCAAATATTATTTTGAGTCTTTAATCTTTTGAGACAAAATAGTAGATGAAATAAGGCCATTAACTATAGATGAAATTGAGCTTCCTTTATGTACCTGAGATGTTTAGGCTCCAAAATGCCCAGCACATAGCTGAAGCTCATATATGTGGAGATTTTTAATGGATATGGAAAAACTGAGTTTTCTGCAACTGAAATTGATCCTCTTCAATTGTGTTCTGCAGCAGTGAAACTTTCAAACTGCTAGGAAGAGAAGATGGACTACGTCAATGGACCAGGAAGGCACCACCTCTTTGTCCCGGGGCCCGTCAACATCCCGGAACCAGTCATTCGGGCAATGAACAGGAACAATGAAGATTACCGCTCTCCTGCTATTCCAGCAATGACCAAAGTTCTCCTTGAGGATGTGAAGATGATTTTCAAGACTACATCTGGAACCCCATTTCTGATCCCAACCACTGGTACTCTGTCCAATAAGGATTATATGTAAAAATTATGTGACAACATGTTAAATTTATATTTCAAACTTCTGTCAAGCGCCAAGAATAGTTTTAGTCCTAAAATTCACAGCCTTGAAGTTATATCTATCATACGCATCCATGATCTGTTTTGTGAATCATTTTGAAGGCTCAAAAGTTCATTTACATGTCATTTGGCTTCTTGGGCATTTCTGTTTATGTGCTAGTGAAAGTAATGGTTTTCTCTTCTCTTCATAGGTACTGGTGCATGGGAGAGTGCACTCACAAACACATTATCTCCAGGCGACCGGATTGTATCTTTCCTGATCGGTCAATTCAGTCTGCTCTGGATTGATCAGCAGCAACGTCTCAAGTTCAATGTCGATGTTGTCGAAAGTGATTGGGGCCAGGGTGCCAACCTAGAGGTTCTGGAAGCAAAACTCGCAGAAGACCGTGCCCATTCCATCAAGGCAATTTGCATTGTTCACAATGAGACAGCAACTGGAGTTACTAATAACTTGGCAAAAGTGAGACAACTACTTGGTAAGTGGATCACCTCTGCAAAGAGATTAATTAGAATACATTAGTTTATTCCTTTTGGTTCAACTGTTACTGGAGCAGTGGCAGTAAGGAAGCAAATTCTTATGCTTGTTACATTTTTTCGTGTTAAGTATATGTTGTAGGACCAAGGTGGAAAAGATAAAATCGAGATAGGAGAAAAAAAAAAGAAAAAAAAAAGAGAAAGTACCACTAGATAGAGAAGTAGAACCACAGGGGAAGAAACATAGATTCTAAAGAGAGCAGGAAAACCAATAATCTCAATATTCATTTTGTTAATATCAGCTCTAGTGAAATGACATTCACTATACGTCTAAACCTTTCAATGGAAGTAAAACATAGCAATATAAAATTCAATACATTCTAAATAGTCCTAAAAGATAAACAGTCTTAAATTGGAAATTATGTATCGAAACTAAAGCACATCCTAGTACAATAACATTCTAGTACATAAATACACAATTCAAATTCTAATATCCCAATCTTGTTTTATATCAGTATATATTTGGGCCATTATTGATTTCCATGGTTGGGAAGCATTTGATTTTCACTTGATTCATAATGGCGAGAACTTGGCTATATAGATGGAAATTCTTAAGCTATAGCTGCACAAGTTTCCAATATTATTGGTATAGAGTTTTCATAGCTTCTGTATTATGATGCATAGAACAAGCAGCCTTTTCACTGGCAAACTTCTTGATTCAACATCATTCAATGTGCTGTAATTTTAAATATCTCATTAGTTTTACTTATAAATTTCCCAACATAATGGCTGCTTCTCACATTCTATTGAACTCTCAGATGACTATGGGCATCCAGCACTGTTGCTTGTTGATGGGGTGTCTTCCATATGCGCTCTTGATTTCCGCATGGACGAATGGGGAGTTGATGTTGCTTTAACTGGCTCTCAGAAAGCTCTCTCTCTTCCCACTGGGATCGGTATTGTGTGTGCTAGCCCCAAAGCTCTGGAGGCCTCTAAATCCGCAAAATCGGTGAGAGTCTTCTTTGACTGGAACGACTACTTGAAGTTCTATAAGTTAGGAACATATTGGCCCTACACCCCTTCCATCCAGTTGTTGTATGGGCTGAGGGCAGCTCTCGATCTCATTTTCGAGGAAGGACTCGACAATGTGATCGCAAGGCATAGTCGTTTGGGGAAAGCAACAAGGTAAAACTATATTACTTTCCGCCTACATAGGCACAGAATTTGAATAGCATATACCATGTCTTGTTGTTAAATGAAGTGTTTTACATCGCAATTTTTTCATAAATTTGTTTAAAGCAGGCTTGCTGTTGAGGCATGGGGGTTGAAGAACTGCACCCAAAAGGAGGAATGGTACAGTGACACAGTGACTGCTGTTCTTGTTCCTCCTTACATTGATAGTACAGAGATTGTTAAAAGAGCATGGAAAAGATACAATCTGAGCTTAGGACTTGGCCTGAACAAGGTAGCTGGGAAGGTTTTCAGAATAGGGCATCTTGGTAACCTGAATGAGGTACTCTAAAAACTCAATAGTTTTCTCTTATGAATAAACATTAGTTTAGAAACAAAGAAAA